TGATATTTACTATCGAGTTATTCATTTATTATTATTTATCTATCAGCACATCTTTTTATTATATTTTCTGGTTTGCATGTATCCCAATCGATTGTGAAAAGATCAGGTCAATTTTTAAGGGGATGTAAATTATCGCATATTATTATATTTTGCTTGAAAGGAAAATTTTATTTTAATTGCTATTCATTGAATTACAATATGCAATACAATTATTATCATTGTTAAGGGACATTTTATTTCCAACAACTAGCCAATTCTTTGAGGTTTGGAGCAACAACAGCCTTGATATTGTTAAAGCCAAGAGTAATTGGGACATTCTTATCGATAGTAGCCGCATCAATGCTGATTGAACTGTTGGTAACTGGAGCGACTTGGTTATTATTTTCAGTCAATGTCAGTTTCATATTACAGTTGAAGTCTTGAGTGGCCCAACTGCCCTTACCAGGCTTAAAGGTTCCAGCACCATCAGATAAACAGTAAAGAGTGTAAGGTTTACCTTTAACATTGAAACCAATTGATAAAGTAACTCGTTCTGATCCTTTCGAGTGGTAGGCTAAGATAGAGACACTTAAATGTTTAGATTTATCATTTTGGCCAGCGCTCAATGAAACCTTAGCAACGTTATTACCAGTACATTCGGTTGAACCATCACGACTAAGACAATAAGTTACACCATAAAAGCACGGATCATTTGGGTTGTAAGCAAGGAAGGCGAATTGAACAAGAGATAAGAGAATTGCAGAGAAGAACAACATTTTGCTTGATTAGTTAATAATCAATAATTAGTTAGTGAATTAGATTGAATATTGATTCTGATAAAATTCAAAATAAACTCACCTCTATTTATATGTTGAGTATCAGATCACCAACTGGCCATCAAGCTGATCATTGACAATTGAAAATAACTTGAATTGGATATCAATGTCAGTGTCTATTAAATTTTGTCAGTTAATGTCATGAATCATGATTATTCAGTCACTTATTTTCAGCTGTATTTTACTGAAAATGAAATTATTAAATCATTTATTTAATCATCCAGTCTACATTTAAGACAATTCGGTGCATCTTTTTGTGAGTACGCTATTAATGAACTCAAGTTGTTCATTTAGTACTGATTGGTATCTTTTGTATCATTCAAGACAATTCGGTACAATTTTAGTATTTTTCAGCCACTTATTGCTCTGATATTCATTTTCAGTTGTATTTTTACTGAAAATGAAATAATTGAATCATAATTCAATCATCTCCGACTTTACATTCAAGACAATTCGGTTCCTCTATTGTTTATGAATCATTGAAAAGCTAATAACTGTTTTCCCCTTTAACTATTCCCTAAACTTGAAACAATGCAAGATTAAGGTCTAGTAGGGGAATTATCATGGGCAATATTACTGCACTCAAATGGTTTATTTAGTATTAATTGGTATCTTTCGTACCTCTAAAGACAATTCAAACAATTTGGTGCAATTTTTGCTCAAAAACAAAACTTCCAACGAACAGATATTGTAATAGCATATTGAACTTCATTTTTTTATCCTTTTCTTTGTCGTTTCTTTATTGGAATGAGCCAGTTTTAAATAGTTTATATGCGATTATCTTGGCAGATTACTAGGTAACTGATCTAACAACAACTATTCCTAACTGGAGATTCTTTGTGCAGGATATATTTTCATGTAAACGAGGACTAACGTTAGTTGAAACGTAAGAAACATCCTTTTTCCTTGTTTCACTTAGTTAGATGAGTTTGATGGAAAGATTTGAGTTGGGTTTTCATCAAACATATTGATCAATCACATAACAATAAGATCAAAAAACCAACCTTTACTAAGAGAAGTAACTATTTTGTGATGGGAAGCCCTTTAATTAAATCAGAGTTAAAGTATATTAATCAATAATTGCAATCATAAAATTAGGTGCAAATTAAAGAACAAATATTAAATTAATATTTCAGAAAAAATCAAACCAATTGAACCAATTTTGCTGAATTAATTGTTTTAAATAGGAACGCTCAAGACAGTAAAAACTTTCAGGGAAACCTGGTAGATATTTAATAGATAATACTATCATCTTATTCCTTAAGTTAATCTAGTTTCAAGTGCAGTAATTTCATTTCCATCTTGACTTCAGATTTTTATTGATGCGGAAAAATATCACACAATATTTTACATCACTTTTAAATTCAGATCAATTTCTAGAGATTAACTGAAACTTTCAGTGTAATCTAATTATATCAGACATCTTCATCGGTAAGGCTTTACTTTCACGGACAAAGGCGTTAGCATTAGAACATAACTATGGAGAGATTTCTTAAAAATCGCACTTTATTTAACTAATCAGATCCAAAAGAGTGACAACTTAGGATAGAGCTATTAATCTATACTCTATACAATATATAAAGTCAAACTATGAAATTTTTGCGGGAAGATTGTGGCCAAACTAAACGGGTTCTAAAGAAAATTTTCACATAAGATGAAAGCCATGATTAAACTACAATCGCAAAAAATAGTTCGAACTTTCTCGGAATTCAGGTTACTGAGAAATTAGTGTTCAAACAGGGTGGGGGAAAAAACGCAGAATCCGTATCTTTTACTATTGACATTGGGGGAAAAACTTTTTGGTTGTTCAGGTTGATGGTTTATTGTTGGCTTAGAAGGATAAGTAAAACTGTCTTTCGAGTAAAGAGTTAAGTGAAGAATATAGCACCTTAACTGTGCAGAAAGATTTCATTCTGTTCAGCTGTATAACCAGATTTTATTTTATTTTTTAGTTTTTCTCATTGACGATGGTTTTTCATCAAGAATTTTGAGTCTTTAAATATGGATTGAATTTATTGTGTTTCAGTGAAAAAATTACGATCAGTCATGATCGGGGGTTCCACTTGTATTATTTAGTTAATAACTAATATGTTATAAAGCGTAGTGCCAAATGATTGAAAATAATTAAATACAATTGAAATATTGATTTTTCCTCCTTAAAAATGGTCTGAAAATAGCATTGGTTGTGATAAGAGTGTAATAAATGTAATAAATGGTTTTTGATTTGAAAATTGTCAACCTTTCAGGAATCCAGAAATGCAGATAATACAAACTGCAGCAAGCAACAATAATGATAATCAGTAAAGTTAATCATTACTCCTCTTTTTTAAAAATGATACAATTATCAAAATAGAAAACAATGAAAATTTTTTGTTATAATTGAATAGTTTAATTTATAATAGAATGGGCTGAACATGAGGAATTTAGCTATCGAAACATCAAGATCTCAATCGTAGTGTTAACATTATATAAAACATGGCTATTTTTTTGATTGACACAGAAGCTAATTAGTTTGCCTTAACTATAATTCATCTTATTTTATTGTTTCAACTTTACTGAATCAAAATCAAAATGATCAGGACCATTGCTATTCTTGCTTTGTTTGTTGCTTGTGCTCAAGCTAGAAATGTTAGCTTAAATAACTGCTGTAAGTTTATTTACTTTTCTCAGTGTAAACTGATAACTTTACTTGTTCGTTAGTACGATTGATTTCTTGTATTTATTTTAATCAACAGCAACAGCACCAACTGGAAAAATTAACTGGATTACCATTGACCCTTGTCACGCTGAACCATGCACCTTCCAGTCAGGAGGATTAGTTACTGTTGAAGGCGAATTAGTTAGTGGTAAGTAATATTCAAACAAATAAAATGAAGAATATCAATTCTCGAATGAGAATCTTTGCTTAATAAATGTTTCCTTCGTAAACTTAGCAACTGGTTCAGATGATCCAAAATTGCTTGTTCAAACTGAACTTCTTGGTGTTATGGTACCTTACCCTGGTCTGAGCTCTGATGCTTGCAAATACCTGACTTGTCCTCTTAAAGCCAATGTTATTACTCCATTCAAGATTAGCTTGGATACTACTAATTGGCTTCCAGCTGTGAGTTTTTAATCTTTAATTGGACAATGCATTTGCTTGATAATATTTCTAATTGATTTTTCTTCCTTCTTTATTCAGGGGGACACTTTTATAGAATTCCAGCTTAAAGGTTCTGATGGATCCCAATACAACTGCGCTTGGACTCATATTGAAATAAGAAAATGAAGAATTATTTTGTTATATAAATTATTCTTTCAATATGCTATTTAATAAATATATATTTTTTGATTATTGATTGCAAATACTGTTTGTGGAAGCTAATTTAACATAAATTCATTATGAACATCAAAGTCACCATCTATCTGATGAAAGACAAATGTATCGAACAGACTTCCAGGCCATTAAAAAATTATTAGTCCAGTTAACTATCAAATTATGCACAACAAAAAACCCTGAAGTTAGTCATCTAACAACTGCCTGAGTGGTATGATTCGTAAAATTCTATGATAAATCGATAGAAATAAGGTGAAAAACATGTCTGGTGAAATTTCAGAACTTTCAAACTTTCGTTTAAATTTTTATTCTTGAAATGCTTGAAATCAAATTACCATTATGGAGCTGAGAATAACCTTCATTTTGTTTTCTTTTTTCTACAATTTCTTTGTTTTGCCATTTTCAGCTCATTACAATGGATCTGATTAGACTTAAAATTGGAATAAAAATTGAAGCGAAAATTTGCAAGTCTAAAATTTCCCCAGACATGCTTTTTCCCTTATTTCTATCGATTTATCACAGAATTTTCCGAATCGAATCGTACCACTTAGGCACCTTCCCTTGTCAGTGTGCTTCGGAAAGATATTGTAATTAGCATAACTTCAGTTTTTTATCCTTTTCTTTGTCATCATGTTCGAATGAGCCAGATGTTAAATAGTTTTTATGCGATTATCTTCGCATATTACTAGGTAACTAATCTAACAACAACTATTCATAACTGGCGATTCTTTGTTTTCGACGTTTTACCTTCCGTATAAACTGATTCATCAGGCTTCCACTCAGTTTGCTTCAAAACAAAAGATTCTTCTTTAAAAAAAGTAATTTAAATTGTAGAAAAGTACATTTGTATAAGAATAGAATTAATGAATTCTTGAAAGAATCTTTCTTGAGACGATGATTTTTAAAAAGAATTTCGATCTGAATTGAATTATGGTACTCAAGGAATTCGCGATCAGTCATGAAGCCTACAGCTCTACAGCTCTTAATGAAATTAGAGTTAACTGTTGAACGAAATTTTGATGAGAGTGCTCTAAAACGCGTTAAATCCACTAGTGTTTTAACTGGTTGGTGTTGGTTCTGTATTCAACGAAAAAAAAAACAATTTTGAAATTTTGATTACGCAAATTTATTGAATTAATTATTATTATTGATGTATTTATCACACAGTAAGATTATTTATCTTCTGGATCGAATGTTTCCCAATCAATTGTCGAAAGATCGCTGGGAGCACCATTTTTGTCGGAATGGAATTTGATATTTGGTTTGTTGATGGATGAACCTGAAGTTGAGCTGAAACTAAAGTCAAGTGGCTTTGCATCGAAATCAAACTTGATGCTATTGGTTTGTAATACTAAAGGTAATTTTAAGCCACATCGGTATCCATCAAGTGACTTGAAAGTTAATAAATTGTCGATTGATTCCTTCTTATCGCCTTGTTGTACGAACCCAGTCAAAGTACTGAAACTGTCTTTACATGAAACAGTCAATGAGACTCCATCAGCATTAACAAACTTCACTGATCTATCAGTTGACTTTGTATCTGGAACCAAACCATAAATGAATGTTTCCATTTCTTTGTTAAATTCCTTTTTCACCATCATGACTCTATTCCTCTTATCATTATCAGTGAAAGACATTCTATTATGTTCATAACATTCAAGGTGAGACAGTTGATGAATGAGTAATTCTTTGAGGTTTGGCGCAACAACAGACTTGATGCCATTAAAGGCAAGAGTAATCGGAACATTATCATCAATAGTGACCAAATCAATGCTGATTGACTTGTTGGTAACTGGAGCAACTTGGTTACTATTTACAGTCACATCTAGCTGCCAGCTACAGGAATAGTCGTCATAAGCCCAAGGGTCATCGGCAGCTGATATATGCGTTTCAGGACCATCAGATAAACAGTAAAGAGTGTAAGGTTTACCTCCAACATTGAAGCCAACTGACACGTAACCACCTTCTCCTTTCGTGCGATAAGCTGAAAGAGAAACACTTAAATGTTCTGCTCCATCATCGTGACCAGCTCTGAATGTAGCTTTAACCACATCAGTAGCACTACACTTGGTTGTGCCATCACGGTTAAGACAATAAGTTACACCGTAAAAGCATGGATCATTTGGGTCGTAAGCAAGGAAGGCGAATTGAACAAGTGAAAGAAGGATTGCAGAGAAGAACAACATTTTACTTGATTCAGTCAATAATTAGTTACTAAATTGAAGTCACAATTGATTCTGATAAAATTCAAGAACAACTCATTTCTTTTTACATATTTCAGCATCAAGTTATCAACTGACTATCAAGATTATTATTGACAATTGAATATGACTCGATGTTAAATTTTATCATATGATATGCTATGATTATTCAGTCGTTTATTGTTCGCGTATCTATTTCAAGTGTATTTTATTGAAAATAGAATAAATAAATCAATAAACTATTCGTTTTCGACGTTACATTTAAGACAATTTGGTGCATCTTTTGTCTAACAATCATCGAAAGGGCTAATCAAATGTTTTTCCCTGTTTACTGCAATTGAAACAATGCAAGATTAAGGTCTAGTAGGTTAAGTATCTTTTGTATCATCCAAGACAATTCAAACAATTTAGTAAATTTTTTGTCCAACAACTCACAAAGATAAACTGGATTGAACGAAAAAGTTGGCCAATTGCCTTTAGCTTCAGTTCAACGCTTGGACTTCAACTTAAGTCTCATCATTTAGCAATAAAATCTCGATAACGATGCTGACGAAAGAAACTGATCCAGTGATAAATAAATACTAGCATAATAATTTTATTAGGTAGAATTGTTGGACGAATTTATGTTTCAACAAATTGATAGGAATTAAATTTAATCACAATTACGCTGAATATTTTATATTTTTGAAACATAATTTTCTAAAGTTAAAAAAAATAGAATAAGCCAATTTTTCAGTTACGGTGGCTGTGATTTACAGTCTGGGAAAAATCGTGCATGTGACTCATCAGTCAAGAGTGAGTTGATTCGATTGTGAGCTATTGTAATTTACAACCGATGTAGCTAAAAATTTGCTTATTCGATTTTTTTGCACGTTAGGTGTTTGTACACCAAAAACACAATTATACGAGTAACGTTACGTTAGTATGAAATGTTTTGAAATAACATAATTTTGTCTTTAGTACCGACTCCGATATCGATATCCTACTCTGAGTCAACTACAGTAAAGGCTGAGATAATGAGACTCTCTTGGAATAGCTTATTCACACTATTCACCGGGCAGCGTATTTTCATTATTTCAATCTTCCTTACTCGATCAAATCCAACAGCAATTGTTTTTTAACCTGATTTCTAGAGTTTTTTGATTAATATTTTACGAAAGAAAATCAAATTAAGTTAGATGATAATTGCAGAAATCGAAATGCAATTTGATGAAATTCACATTGAATAAACTCCTTCTTGATTAGGCATCGTTTATAATTTTTGTCTCATTATCTCAGCGTCCCATTATCTCAGCCTTTACTGTATTCCGCTATGTGAGTTGAAGCCTACATGGCTTTTTCGAACTTTTTTTATGAATTGCAATGGCTATTTTTGGCTGCATGGAATTAAATTTTTATTGATTCGAATGTGAATTTGGTAAACAGTTAGATGATATGAATTTGAGCTTCTATAACTCCAATACAAAATCTCTTGAGCTTTGTAGCCTTCAACAGATGAATGTTGCTTGAACATTTCAAGACTTTTTTTAAATTTTTTGGATATCCATTGTAAAGTAGGGATCAGCTTCCCTTTTTGCAGTCAGACTCGCTTGAACATTTCATCACTTTCTTTTTCCTCTCCCTCTGATTTTTTCGCCAGATTTTTTTGGAATTTCTTTTTTGCGCATCCATTTGTAACTAAACACAAAGCTAATATGAGTTGAATTCTTTAATTGCAATTGTGAGATTGAATCGAAATTTAATGATCAAGTTGAAATGAAAATACTGAAATGAAAGTAAATGAAACAATCAGTTATAAAGATACAAGTTAGTGTTTCTGGAATACTATCGATTCTTCGATATAAGTCGTTATTAATTGATACTTGCTCCGATTATATCGGTATCAGTCGATACTTTTGAACCGCTTGATTTTAAGCTGATAGTAGGTCTAGAAAGATAGAAAGTTTGGTCAAATTCAGTTTCAAGCCAGTATTAATTAGCTCCAGCAGATTCGATTATAACAGAAAATGAGAATAAAAAACTACGAAAAATTATGTTTTCTTAACTCTGCGCCATCACATCCAAAAAAAGTATGCAATTTTACTTATTTTTCACGACATTTTACGATTTTCCGCTTTATACATTGATATTTTCGATATAAGTATCGAACGATATAATCTTTACTTTCCTTGAAAATATCGTTTCTTTCGATCCATACCAAAAAAAAAATATCGAGAAACACTAATACAAGTATAATATGAATACTATTTCATATGAGGAACTTCAGTCAAAACAACTCACACCACGTGAAGGTAGTTCTTTTTGTGTTTTGGCTAGGTTTACATACCAGTCACCCTCGCCTCCAGTTTTACCAATCGATGTTACATACTTTTTGCGAAATCTTGCAAGAAATTGCCAATTTTCTTTAGCTTGTTCTTAAAAAGAATATAACATCGATGGCAAATAACAGCTTTTTGAGAGTTGACACTGAGCACAACACTGACAGTTTTTCTCACTTAATTTTCTTTCGTAAAACTGAAGCGTTTAAACATCCGTTAAAGGATATCTCCTGCAAAATTTTTTTCTTCGCCCAAATATTGCTTTTTCCCTAATGGAAAAAAAGTTTACATGAGTGAATGACTTGAGCTATCCATATCATAAAATGCAAGGTATAAATAATTTTCATTATAGGTATTTAGGAAATCAACGGCCAAACTTATCTCAACAAATCTACAGAAACACTTCCACAGATTTTAAAATTTTGTATAACATTGTTTAATGCTTTATAAAAGCCGGCTTTATTCCGACCAAGGAATGCAGCAGGAAATTGCAGCGGACATGC